GGAATACGCTGGACTCATCAGCAAAGTAGCAACTTTGTTCTTAAACTAGATTGGGTGGCTCACAGAGAGCAAAAGCTGATTGCAAGGCACTGTGGCCAGTGATATGCAAATTACAAGATGCATATTTAGAGTTCAGCTGGGAGTTACTGGACACAATACAGATAAACCTCCCCTACTCCCTCCCCCACACCCCATGCACCTTAGAAACACTCTGGGAAGGTAAGTATTCAAGCCATGTAAGGTGGTACGTGATTTTGATTGAAAAAAACAGGTGAGAGTTAATCTTTGACCAAGTTGAATGGTTTGATACAGGTTCCTACTTGCCCAGCAAGCTGGACGTATTTTGTGTAATGTCTCTTGCTAGCACAAAGAAAGGAGAGGCATGCAGCAGGCTGTAACACAGGGCTTGCTCGTGATAACAAGTGCAAACACTGGCTTTAGCACCACAGGACGGCTTCAAGATTTCACCCAAAAGTCAATCCCACCCCCCAAAGTTGCAGTTGCTTTCACAACATCCCGTGTTCTCTAGCCTATATTATGTAATAAACTATAATAATGAATGACTGCCAAAGATTCACATGCAGCACAGGAGAGAACACAAGAAATGCAGGCAATATGAATTCCCAGTGTCAGAACAGAAGGTACCACATGTGTTTTTGCAATAGGAATAAAGTCCCAATAGTACTCAGGCTCTAACCTACTTCTATAAACCCTGGATGAGATCCCACTGTCGAGTAGCTACTGACTAACCTTGTTACTGCACAGATAGAGCCTGTTTCTACTCTGGCCAGAGATGGAGTATGCTGGAGGCACCTCCAACCCCCAGGTGAGCTGCATGAGTTCTGACCTTTCCAGTCACTCTATTCAGAAAGGGTATGCATTTCAGTGAGGAGTGCTCTCTCTCTCTCTGTCTCTAATCAGTGTGTTTGCAGGCTTAGTTATTCAATTATTTCATGTCTTAGGTAATTACTAACAACTTCATTAGCTGGTATTTGTAAAGCCCTTGGAGATCTCATAGAAAAGCAGATTTTGCATGTTGCTAGCCTTTTATTTCACAAGCCCCAAGTGCTAAGCAAAGATCTGGAACAGGCCATTTCTGGGGCAGAGACTGAGGACGAGCACACGGTGTATTTACCAGATTGTGTCCTGGGGCTGTGGCAATGGATGCAAGAAGGCGAACCAGTGTCTTCCTTCAGTTCTAGGGATGCGGGAGTCGATAAGTGGTACTTTGTCCCTGCAAAACCCAACAAAAGCTTTCTCAGCACTCCTCACAGAGTGTGTGGCTTGGGGTGGGGTAATGAAAAGAAAGGGAAGGGTCAGGCTTCATGCTGTAGTTCAAGACTGAGCTACAGGGTTCAGATCAGCAGGGAGAGGAATGGGTAAGTCTTTCGTTGGGGAAGTACAGTGTCAAGTGTCCCAGCTGGGCATAGGAAGGGAAAGCCACTTAGGACAGCAGCCGGATCTGGTTAGTTACCAGAGAGGCCACACCAAGACCTCATTGGACTTGCTGTGTGCTTACCTGTGTAATGGCCTTTGAATGTTGCTGCATTTGGGATCTTCTTGGAGGAAAACACTGCCCTGGGCCTCCCATCCAGAAGTCTTGGCGGGGGGTAATCTGATTCTGAAGCTGCAGCATGTGGAGAAGAGAGAGCACTGGATTAGACAGCCAGGGCACTGCTCTGTATGTCCTGTAGGTACTGTGGGATGCATACTCTGATTTTCTCAGCAAGCATCAGTACACATGCTATTAGGGGACAGGATAGGGCTGACTGCCACAAATTCCAGTGATGCATGTAGGATCAAGAGAAAAAGGCACAGGCATCAGAGTCAGATCCAGGACCAGGTTGGGTCAATGAGACCAGCTTTCTCATAGGTCAGGAGGGCTGGATCTGGATGTGAGCCCATCTGCACAATTGGCAGAGAGTGCCCTGGTAGATGGGCTGCCCACACGACTGCTCACCACCCACATGCATAGCAAGTGCTCATGCAAACATCCAGTTCTCCCTTTTAGGGAGGGTAAATTGAAGAGGAGTGGAAAGAAAATAAAAGTCCTGCTGCCCCAGTGCTTCTCAGAAGCACTGAGGGAAGCCAGGGTGACCGCAAAGGGGGCAGGCCCCGAAAGGTCTACTTACTGAGATCCAGCTCAGGCCCATCCCGCGGGAGTGATGCTGACCTTGCCCGCCTTGCTGGCTGGATCACTGGGGCTGGCTCCCCACATTCACCTGGGCTCCTCTCTGCAGGTTTTCTGGGAAAGGGACAGGCACAGAATGATCTTCCAGTACACAGCCCATCTGATTTGGGTGCGTTTAAATGCACACACAATCACTTACCTGACGGTTGCTGGGCTTCTGGCTGAGGAACCATTCTCCAAAGGCTTCCTTTTGGTCTTTGCAGTGCGTGGAGATGCCTTTCCTGTTGGGTAGCTTTGGGGTCGATGCAAACTCTCCTCCAGCCTCTGCCGAAGCCGCAAAACCTCTTCCTGCAGAGCCCGGATTGCCTGGCTGAAGTGGGAAAGGAGAATCAGGAATCAGTTTCCCTAGAGCTCAAGAATAATGTTGGATTGAGAAGAAAAGGGGGAAGATCCCATGTTTTCCCCTATCTGAAGTCACAGAGACAGTCCCAGCTCTGCTGTGCCAGGCTGCCTGTCACCCAGAGGTCAGCTGAGCTTCAGAGACAACAGCACTGCTCAACGTGACTTAGCCACTCAAGAATCACAAGAAGCCACCGACTGAAGCTACTTTGAGGATGCACTGCACAAGGGAGACAGTGGTGCAGAGTCCATTTCCCTTTAGAGTGGCCTCTGGATGACGGTAGGAGGCTCTCTGAGATGTAGGTTTTACACTCAGCCTTTCTGAATGGTTGCAAAGACTTCAACCATGAGGACTGACCAGCTTTCTCTGAAGCTCTGGAGTTTATTTAGTGCTCTTCCTGTGCCTACAGGGAACCTGATATGCGAGTCTATAAATCCAAGCCTTATTCCTCTTATTAAATGTGCAAGACAACCAAGAATGTTTAAACTGCTGCGTTATTCTGCTGGATAGCCTACCATCTGGGAGGGAAAACATGCATGCATTAACCCTGACAATGCTGGCATTTTCCAGGCTGGCAGACAAATGTAATCTTGGACTAGCATGTGACTATATTCTCAGGTCTTCAGAGGATTAAGTGCTTCCCTTTTTTAGTAGCTCTCTCTTCATTGTCAAAGGAGTGAGAAGGGGCCCCTCGGTCCTTAAGGAATTGCAGCTGAACATTGAGTCTTGAAATGTCTTCAGGCATTCAGCTCTCCCCCTCAGGGAAGTCTGGCCCCTTTAAGGTATCTCAAACAGAGCGCACAAAATCACTGACCCCTTTTAATTGTTCTTGGCCTGGGCTGTTCCCTGTGAGTGGTATTGGGGGAACCTCAAAACAGCCAAAGGTTCTGGCTGAACGAACACTGAAAAGGCCGGGGGATTGTCCAACCCTTCACCAAACGCTCTGGCCTCTTGGTTCTGCAAAGCTGGGCATGACCTCTTTTAGAAACAAGACTCTGTTCCACATGGCACTATGGAGAGCTACCCTTTCCTCTTCCTTTTCCAGTCCTGGTTGCATCCCAGAAGTCCGCAGCACAGGAGAATGGGATGCAAACAGCAAAAACTCAGGCCGGGCCAACTACACTGGCTGTCATTCAAGCCCACTCAAATATCTTGAGTGAAAGGTTTACTGAAATCAGTGGCTACTTAGGGACATTCTTAGAGATCATCAGCTGCACATAACAACCCCATGCAGATTTTCCCTGCTGCCAAAACTACAAGGGCCTGCCACCTGAGCTAAAGGAGAATCAGTCACCATTACAGGATCTATGAGGCACAGCTGAGCAGCATGAATTCCCCCCAGGCAAAGACAGCAAGACATACACTCTTCCATTCATTATGGGACACAGACACCCGCTTGTGCCAGCTCATTTTTGGGGGGTGATTGTGTACTTGCCAATACACAGCTCATGCTGTTGCCTTTTAGCAAGGAAAATATATGACCTGAGGAAACAACACAGTAGGGGTCAGATATTTAGCTGGAGATGCTGGATTGCATCAGTGCAGCCAGGCTGATTTACATCAGTTGAGAATTCAGCCTTGTAGGTTTAAAATGACAGAGAAAAATGCAAACTGTTCTGCAGAGCCCACAGAAACACTCTACAAGGCGTAGGCAACCTCAGAGGGCCTGAGCCCTCCCTCTCCCCGAGCTTGCGCTGCTGAGTCTGCTTCCAATTGAGCTGTACGATCAGACACAGGCTGTGTGGCTCTTGCAGAACTAGCTCCTTTCCTCCGTGCCCATGTAAGCTGCAGGAGATTTAACCATTTGCGTGTGTGGCTGGTGTGAGGCAGCCGCTTGGTAAGCTGAGGGGCTAGTGAGGGATAGAGTGGCCAGATCAGTTTGCTCAGAGTAAAGCTCCTTGAATCTATGCTGCTGGCCACATAAGACAAGTGCATCAAAATCAAGGCTTTCAGTCCTCCTGGCAGCTGCCACAGCCGACAACTCTGCTGCCAAGAGCACTGCTTCCCGACCCGCTTTCCCCATGAGTCCATCACATCCTCATAGCAGTGAACATTCAGAGCCTGCTCGACTGGCATTGATTTAGCAGTGCCTTACAACCGAGAACTGTGTATGTGATGCTCCCAGATCCTGCTCCTTAAGGTTACTCCCACTCGTAAGAGCTGCAATGCCAACTCTGTCCCTGATTTGCCCAGCAGGTCCTGATCTGGCCCTGGCCAAGTTCAAAGGCACAGCTGAGTCACTGAAAAGCCTTCTGCCAAAAGGCCAGTACTTATCCATCCCCTTCAGTCAGGACTGTCCTCATATCCATCTGAAGTCACCAGTAAAACGAGCAGGTCTGCGCCTCGCCTGTGGGGCTGTCCATTTGCAGGATGGAGCCTGCACCCCTCTACATTGGGGCCAACTAATACGCATGTGAGGGAGAAAGCTGGAAACAGCACTGTGATATCAATTCTCTCTACTTCCTTCTTCCCTCTGCCTGGCTCCACTGACATCCTATTATTCGTGAGGCTGCCTCGGTCCTCCGGTGGATTTGAGACCTGTCCCCTCTGTGAGGCACAGGGAGTCGTTTCTGGATTTACCTCCTGGGAGAGATCTACTGTACGGGATGTGGCCAGGCCTTTCGGCACTTCTGGACTCAGAGAAGCAAGGAACCAGCCTTTCTCTAGCAGCGTGGGCTGAAAGCATTCTCCATCCAAGGACAGGCCAGCATTAACCAGTCCTCAAGTCTCAAAGAGCTGGGTGACAACTGGAGAAATGGGATCTCTGCCTGACTGGGGTCACTGGAAGAGGTTGAGTGCTTGCGTCTTGCCAAAGAGCAAAGAGAACAGCACGTCTTCTCCCCAGCCCCGGCACTGCCACAGCCGTGTCCAAGAGGCAGCGTCTTAGCAACGCTCCCAGAAATGTTTGCTGTCATTGTGCAAGGAGAGGGCGTAAAACAGGCAGGACGGCTCCACCTCAGGCCTCCTCTGCTCAGGTAAACAACCCCCCTTCTCCTACACCCAGCGGGGCTGCCTGGCTCACTGTGAACTAATGACACTCAGGGGAAAAACCTAGGACAGCGCTTTCCTTCAAAGACACCACTGCCCTGGAGACTGCCTCTGGGACTGGCTTGGTGATGAGACAGCTGACGTGGAGTCCGGGGTATGACTGTCTCTCCACATCATGATGGCTGTAGAGAGGGGAAACAGTGCCAGTTCTCAGTACAGGCAGTCCTCGACTTACGTTTCAAGTTATGTTTATAAATTGACGCCGTTTCAACTTTATGACATCAGTTTCGACTTTATAATGCTTGATCCGATGCGACGCCACACCAGCGAACAAATTCGCTGCATCACCCATCTCCCTGGAGAACATCTGTCCAAACTTCCTTGGACACGTTCTTTCAGAAAGCAGACAAGACTCCGGAAAAACCTGCAGCCAAGACTCCTGAGAAGACTCCAGCCAAAAACCCTTCAAAAAGTCCAACCAAGAGCCTTTCAAAAAGTCCAGCAAAGTCACCTCAAAGAAGCCCTTCCAAATCAATATGATTGCTATTTACGATTTAAATACATTAATGTAGCTATATTACTCATCATATAATTGATTGAGCACAAAATTCTGGGGTATTTTTAGTGAAAATAGGGTATCGGGCCTTGGTTCAGGAACCAATCCCCCATTTATAACATTGTTTCATATGAGAAAATTGGTTCCGAGTTACGCAGATTTCAGGAACCAAATGTGTCGGAAGTCCGAGGACTGCCTGTACTGAGACAACATGTTCACTGGATGGAAGTGGACGTGGACCCTCTCACAATGCTTAGCCCACGCCAGGAGGGGTCACTTACTCTCGTTCCCTGCGAGAGGCCAGGAGGTCATGGTGAGCCCGGACTGGAGAAGGAGACAGGGTGGTGGAGCTGGGTGGACACCTTGCTTTGCTGGGATGGTGATCGTAGGTGCTGTCCCCGCTTTGTCCCTCAGCTTCAGAGTCTGTGTGAGCTGGTGAAGGAAGAAGACAGCGGACTACTTTAAATGATGCTGATTTTGGGGTGCCTCTTTGAAGGTGCATTTCCCTGGCAATAGAGCCATTTTCACCTATGGCCCAGGCAACTTCCCCCACGCTGCCCTGCTGGGATGCTTCAGCTCCACCCTGGAGGGACGCCTCTGGGACAGCAGATGACTTCAAACTCCACGTGCTACTAGGGCCTGGGCCCTGCTTAGCACAAAAGTCCAAGTGGTGCCATTGCAGACATTGGCCCGTGAATCCTCCCTCCCCAGCCCCAAGCTTACTTTGCAGAGGCCACTAAACAGCTTGAAAACCACCAGACAAATACTGACAAGAGATGGCCAAAATCTTCTCAACCCACTAACTTTTTTCCTCAGAACTGAAAACCTGAGTGGCAAAGCCAAAGTTTGGCCCACCCGTTTCAGGTTTTCATTGAAATGGTAAAAATGCTGAAATGTTCACCTCTTTAGAAATGTATTTTTAACTCAAAGCAGTTGTAAAACTGTTTTTATAGAAAAAAAGAGAGAATAAAAAAAATCTATGGAGAAAAATCAAGCATTTCTTTAAAAGTATTATTATTAACAATTATTGTTGCTGTTATTAGTGCTGGTATAATTAAGATCAGCCCCAGTGTCAGCATCCACAAGTTGCCCCTTCCCTTCTCGCTGCGGAGAGAAAGGAAGTAAAGGAAGTGAACTCTGTTCCCAGAGGTCACGGATGTGCCTCATTTTGCGGGTGGTCCAAACCCGAGGTGTCTTCTACTCACTACTGTCTGCATCTGGTGCCATCTCGCTGGTGATACTACTATTTGTCCACTGAGGAGGGGAGCTGGTCTGGGAGGGGCTGCCGTGGGGCAGGCTGTGTCTCTGGGCACTGCTCCTTGGTGGGACCTGCCTGGGGGGTGTGTACATGCCCCACAGCCCCTTTTCTGAGGATAACGGGCTGGTGTCTTTCTTCAGAGAAGCACGGAGGACAGCAGGGGGGGATGCAGAGGCAGACTTCTGCA